AGTTAAATTTTTTTTTTATAATATGCATAAAAACAAATCCTTTTTTTTGATGATCTGGAATCAAGTTCTTAAGTAAAAAAATCTATGAGACACCCTGTATAAACATTTTTTTTTGCTTATTTAGTATTGTTTTTAAACAATAAAAATATAAAAAATGTTTTCCTGGACAAAATTAAAATTTTGTGCCTTCCATTTTAATATGCATTAAAATGACTTAAATAATTTTTCTTGAATGCTCCTAGGATAAATGTTTTCAGTTTAAAATCGATGAAACACTCTGTATATCCACGTTTTTGAAATAAAAATTCCTTTTTCTTATTTAGCATATGAAAACAATATAAAAAACCGTTACCTTAGACAAAATTAAAATTTTGTAAATATTTTGTTACAGAGTGATCCAACTTAGCTTTTTACTGAAAAATAGTTCAAAAAATGCGATTTTGTAATAATTATGTAAAAGTTTGTTTCCGGGTGTTTCTACCATAAACCGAAAAATCTTAGATGAGACACTTTGTATATCTACCATTTTTATATAAAATGAATTTTTGCTTCATTAGGATTGTTTTTAAGCAATAAAATCGTACATAAAGTAAAACAATAGATACAGGGTGTCCCAGTTTACCCTTCTTCTCAAAAAGTAATCAAAAAATGCATTTTACAATTTTATGTTTTTCCATCAAAATTTTTTGTTTTATCATTTTTTAAATAAAATGATTATTTATTTTTTGCGTTATCAAAGAAAGATAACAAAATAATCTCGACTTGAAGAGATTTAATAATATTTTAGTCAAGGTTAGCCACGTGGAGGAATTAAACAAAAACGCAATAAAATTTTATTTCGACACAAAACAAAAGGAAATCACAACATTTTTATTGCACTAATTAAACATCTAGTTCAAGTATTTTTCCCCCAAATTATTCAACTATTTTAATTTATTATCAGTTAAAAAAATTTTTGTCGATTGTCGAACATAAATCGCGTTAACCTTGATCACAGTCAATTATTTTAACAATGTTAAAAAAAAACACATGATGACATTTACACACTAGATTTTTAATGCGCAGTTTAGCAAAAGGGGATTCACCTCAGCACACCCACTTGATTTTTTTTTCAATTTGTTTGTAATAAAAGTATCGACGCAATTAAATCCGAAGGTTGGTACAACTGTCTAAATAATATTATTATTATTAAAATGAATTATTGATTTTGTTGGGAGACAAACTTTAGACACTTCCAAATGTCTGTCTGCAGAAAAGTTCATTGCCTTCCAAGTGGGGTGGAGGTAATAATACAATTACGCGGAATTGAGACAAATACTATTGATACAACCTTCACAAAGTTTTCCCGTGTTTTATTCATAATTTTTTTTGTGTGTGGAAATATTTCATACGAGCTTGTCTGTAAAAAATCAAATAGTTTTGTGGCCTTGTTGAACTTGTCTTTCCATGTTTGGGAGGTGACCGCTTGAACTTTTCCCTTTGTTTCATTTTTGCATTCTATTTAAATATTTTTTTTATATTTTTTTATTGTTAATTTTTCAAAAGAGCGAAAATTTGTGACCGTTTTTGGCGTGGGACGAAATTCTGCATTCTTAGACTCTGACGTGTCCCAAATAAACCTCAAATATTGATGACCTTGAGGAAAAAAAATATCCATGAGACACCCTGTATAAACAATTTTTTGAAATTATTTTATTTGCTTATTTAGCATTGTTTTTAAGCAATAAAAATATAAAAAATGGTATCCTAGAAAAAATTAAAATTTTGTGAATAGTTACAGAGTGATCCAGGTAAGCCTTCCACTAAAAGAATAAAAGAAATAAAGGTGAAAATGTATTTTCATGTAAATTTTGCATGCTTTTTCTGCAATATGCCTAAAAACAAATCCTATTTTTTTGATGATCTTGAGTAAAGTTCTTAAGTAAAAAATCGATGAGACACCCTGTATAAACAATTAAAAAAAATTTTTTTTTGCCTAAATAACATTGTTTTAAATATTGAAAATATAAAAAACGTTATCCTGGACTAAATTAAAATTTTGTAAATAGTTACAGAGTGATCCAGCTAAGCCTTCCACTAAAAAAATAAAAACAACAAAATGTGTTTTCATGTGTTTGTATTTTTTTGTAATATGCATTAAAATGACTCAAATAATTTTTCTTGAATACTCCTAGAGTAAATGTTTTAAGTT